TATTCCAAGTACATGTGGCCTGCTGCCAGGGCCTATCTCCCTGACAAACATGAGTATTTCATGAGCAAGGTCATCGCTGCTTCTGCTGTAGTGTTGCCATGGCTAAATGAGCATCACAACTTGATGTGGGCCAGATCCAAGTTCTCACCTGACATCAAATGTGACTACATCAACAACTTAGCTGAATCTTGAAATTCATGGATCAAGGAGCACAAAGATATTCCTGTATATGCCTTAGCTGATGCTATTAGGGAGCAGACATTGAAGTTATTTACAAAGAGGAGGACTATATCTAGAGCTCTGAAGAGAACTATACTGCCTGCTGTGGTTCATTAGATGAATGCTGCATCAAAAGGATTGGGGCACTTGAAGGTCACAAAAGGGGATAGAAACCAAGCAGAGGTGGCAGTAGTGTACAAAGATGAAGAAGTGAGAAGACATGTTGTCTACCTAGATCAGAAAATATGCACTTGCAGAGAATGGGAGGTCAGTGGGAAGACCTACCAGCATGCATTGGCAGTCATCACCATAGAGAGGAACCCAAACATGGAACAATACATAGACATGGCCTTCTCAGTTGAGAAATTTAAAGCTGCATATGCAAGAGTAATGCTAAACATCATTGACAGGAATCAATGGCCTCAAGTGGACAAAGGTTTCAAGTTGCAGCCACCGATTGCCAAGCCAAAAAAGAAAACTGCTGGAAGGCTGAGGAAGAAAAGGATTTTATCTTGCTTGGAGAGGACAGGGAAAGCCACAAGACAATCAAAGTGTGATGGCTGTGGTGAACTTGGGCACTGGAAAGGAAGCTCCAACTGTCCCCTAACTGGCACTAAGAAAAGGTATCACTCTAACCAAATTTACATCATTATTATACTAATAATTTGTACTAACTAACTAAAAATGTAGGAAAAGGACCAAAAAGACTGAATCAACAGTGGGGAGAAAGAAGTCGAAGACTGATGCACCCAAGGAAGGTTCTTCATCCAAGCAACCTTCTCCCTCCAAGCTAGCTCCAAATACTCCAAGAACAAGGGCAGCAGCTGCTAGGGAAGCAACAGCAGCAGCTGAAGCTAAATCTCAAGCACAACCAACTCCAATTCCACCTGCTAAGAGGTATGTTTCATCCACTTTCCATGTTTTTGATCCATATTATAGGTTCAATTACCTAACAATGCATCCCACGATCCAGGAGGTTGCCCTTAGATGAGCTTGTACCACTAGAGATGGTTGTATGTGAAGATCACCCTACACCTGCTAAGAAGATGACGTCCAGGAAGAAACAATTGGCTTCAAAGGTGAAGAAGACCAGTCCAACCAAGACCTAATCTGTTTGATAAGCAAAAAGTTTGAATTTGGGCTATCTTGTAATGGCTATGTAGCCTTGAAAACCTGCAAACAATGGTTGTGTAATCTATTTTGTGCTGCCAGTACTGGCAAAAAACATGTAATGGCTTTGTTGCCCTGCAGTTCTCATTAGCAACTACTGAACTTTGTTAGCTAGAAGACTGTAAACTTTAGTGCCTATGTTGCTGGAACATGTAATGGATGTGTTGCCATACTCCTTTTATTGCAAACTGCATGCTTGTGGATAATTTTTCAAGCACTGTTATATTCAGTTTGTAAACCACAACATGCAGCTGAATCAAATACATTAGACATAACATGATCCATACATGAGGATGAGGTTCATAGGTACATCAGGTTCATCGGCATTTGCCAAATTACATATCACCCAAACACTACTTGATAAGGTACATAATCCCTACAACTAGCAGTCCACCAAGAACCAACACCAACAGCTTCACAATTGAGATCAAGTTCTCCATCTATGATTGTATTTGCCTAGCACTGGATGGAATAGACTCTGCTTCAACCTCTCCTTCTCCTTCATCATCAGCAGCCACATCGTGCAATGTCACCTTGCCTAGCTCAACCAACTTCTTCAGGTACTTATTTTGCCATTCGAAGAAGGAACATGTAGTTGGATCCTAAAAACATATCAATGAAAATGAGCTTCAAACTCACCAATGCAGATCCCAATTAGCAAAAAAGGGAAAAATGGATAAGAAACGAGATCAGGCGCAAACAGATCTCACCCCTTGCACGTTCGTTGGGCACTTGAAGAAAACCCTACCATAGTTCTCCTCTGTCGATGCTCGTATCTCGATAACCCGAGCCTGACCACACCCAGGGCACTAGATCAGTGGGAACCCGGTCTCATCTCCAACCAAGATGCGGCGCCTAGGACAAACGGTCGGTCTAGCCATCGGCCGAGAAGCCCTACTCCCTTGCCTCGATGACTCTCCCCGTCAGCGAGGGGAAGACATGGCGCAGCGGATGGCGAGGTCAGCAAGAAGAAGGAGTGGGAGTGCACTGGAGAGTGTGGCATTCAGATCCACCGGTGGAGAAGAAGATAAAGGAGCTATTGGAGAAGAAGAAGAATGTGGGCATATGAAGATACGGGGAGCGAGCCCACATGGTTAAGGGATAAGGTAAGGGGCAGCGAGGTCTTTTTGTGTGCACCTGTCACGCTGGTAAGCTGACTGGGCATGCCACGCAGCCAAAATATCTACAAACTGGAAGTTTTGATCAGTTTAGGGGCAAAAATTAGGACCACGTAGAAAGGTGGCAATTGAGCCCGTGCCAACCATAAGAGTGGCAAAAAGTTAAATATCCCCTCCTCTGACGGTTTGGTCGTGCTGGTAGCGATGAAAACGGATACGGGCGGATATCACTGATATTACTATTTAATTTTATATTTATGTTCGGATTCAGATTCGAATACGGATAGTGTCAACCGCCGGATAGGATACGATTGGATATCGACATCATAAATATGCAATTTGAGTATTTGGATACGGATATGGTATCAGATGTTGAATATCCAGACTTAGATACAAACAGATCTAAATCCCTCTAAACAGATTCGATCTCGAATACGACCGTACCGTTTTTATGAAATTACCTTGTCCCTCGGTTCCTTTTACTCCGGCAAATGGTTCGAATTTGAACAGAGTTTGCACAACTCATCATAAATTTCACTGAGTCACGACAATGAAGATAAGAGCGAAAAGAAAAAAAATCGTCGTGTCCTTCTTTACACATTGGCTCCGTTCACTTCGCTGAAAAAACAAGTTGAAATACTGTTCCGGCTGATTTATTGTGAGAGAAAAACACTATATCCGCTAAAAAAATATATCGAAAAAGATGGATCGAACGGGTCCGTTATTCATTCGGTTTGCTTTGAGAACTGAGAGTGACCGACAAGCGGCGAGACCTCGACAAGCGGAGACCTCCACACCGGCTGTTGTGTCGTGTTCCCTGCGAGCGACCAAGCGTGCGTGACACGACACAACAAATTGAAAGGCAGGGGCCCATCAGGCATCAGCGTCGTGCACGGGACTGACGGGAGAGTACGACTACGGTGGCCGGTGGGGGTCCCGGGCCAGCCGGACGTGAGAGAACAGCGCCGGACCACGGGCGGGCTGGGCCTGGCCCGTGTGCCCGTGCGGCTTGTCGTGGCGCCCCGTCGGGCTCCTGCGGCGGCACGGAGCGGGCAGCGAGGGACACAGGAGCTCGTGCCTGCTGATGACGTCGTGTGGTGTCTGCCAATGGCTGGGATCGCGCCGTGTGGTGTGATGTGATGTGACCAGCTGTGCGTCTCCGATGTGGGCCCCTCTCCCGCGCCTGCTTTCCGCACGGCACGGCACGGCGCGGCGTGGTACGACCGTACCGTTTTTATGAAATTACCTTGTCCCTCGGTTCCTTTTACTCCGGCAAATGGTTCGAATTTGAACAGAGTTTGCACAACTCATCATAAATTTCACGAGTCACGACAATGAAGATAAGAGCGAAAAGAAAAAAAAATCGTCGTGTCCTTCTTTACACATTGGCTCCGTTCACTTCGCTGAAAAAACAAGTCGAAACGCTGTTCCGGCTGATTTGTTGTGAGAGAAAAACACTATCTCCGCTAAAAAATATATCGAAAAAGATGGATCGAACGGGTCCGTTATTCATTCGGTTTGCTTTGAGAACTGAGAGTGACCGACAAGCGGCGAGACCTCGACAAGCAGAGACCTCCACACCCACATCAAACCAGTGAATAATCCACGATACTTCCGAACAAGCTGCAAGGCGTCCCGGACTGCCCGTGTTTTCTCGGGCGGACGCACGGTGGGGGCAGGCACTGGGGCGGCACGGCCGGCGCTGGGCCGCGGGCCTCTTCTACGAACGCTCCGAGAGGGGTCGGTCTCTCTCTGGGGATTGCGGGACGTGTGGCATGGGCTTAAAACTCGGCCTGTTTATTCGTGGGCCTAACTGGGAAATGATTTGGGCTCGGCCTCTTCAGCCTCACACCCGTTTCCATTTCCTCTGATCTCTCGCTTTTCCTGCCGAGCGCTGAGTGCACCTCTGTGTTGTCTGCACGAAACTGACCTGGAATTCCTCTCGCTTCCTATTGTTGTGAATTGTGATATGTATAAGGTTGAAGATTTCTCGCCTCTATCGTGCACACTGGTCCCAGAGTGGACCTGGAGGTCGATAGTCAAATTATTTTCTTTTAAAACACGAATAGGCCCAGCAAGTACACGCAAAATTTATATACACCTCCCTCCACATTGACCAACCGGTCAATTTCAACAGCCCAACCACTTTGGGTGTAGCATGGGTTTGGATTGACGAAGTGAGCTTCCAATTGAAAAGCATATGCCAAGTAGATGATCTCAACCTCACTGCTTTTTCAGTTTTTCTCAACCATCGCATGGATCCGTGAACCACCTCCAACAAATGCCCAACCCCCCCCCTGCTCATCTGAGAGCCACGCCGCAGCAGAGCAAAGCCCCCATTAACCCCCCCTTCAGCTCTGCTCTTGCATATCAGTTGCAATGTCGCCCGAGCATTATTAGCGCGCTGCCTTTTGGAGCTGTAGCAACGAGCAAAGGGGCTCATCAATCAAGAAGTGAAGTGAGTGACGCGAACAGTCAGAAATCGGCGTCGGCATGGCAGACAAGAAGAAGGTGGAGGTCAAAGAGACCAAGGTGGAGGTCAAGACGGCCACTTACAAGGTGTTCGTCCACTGCGGGCAGTGTGCGCGCGACATCCAGACGGAGTTCACCGAGTTCCAAGGTGCGTTTTTACGTGCTGTAAATGTTGCTGCACTTGTGTGTTGCTTCGAATGGTGCATGCCAATATGCCGGCGATATGCATGCAGACAGACACAGGAGCATGCGTATGATCGATCATACTGCGCCAACTTAATTATACACTGTGAGTCTCTGAATATGTCACATATATATACTGGCAGGGGTTGAAGAGGTGAAGGTGGACGCCGGGGCAGGGAAGGTGACAGTGAAGGGCTTCGCGTTCGACGTCGAGAAGCTCAGGAAGAAAGTTGAGAAGGGCTGCCGGAAGAAGGTCGAGCTGATTCCACCCGCGCCTCCCAAGGACGACATGGTCGTTGAGGTCAAGACCAAAAAGGAGGTAAATGAGACTTCCATGTACATGCATCGATCTCTGATAACACAGCATGTAGATTTCTGATCATTTCACCTGCCTTTCCATAGACCATGGCGAGTACAGCACGTAGTGTGCAGTGTCTGATCAAGAACACTGCTTCTTATGTTGGGTTTTCCGCGATATATAGCTCCATTGTTCAAGCATTTCTTTGGTTTGTTAATAATGCCGCAGGAGCTGAAGGTCATAACTGTAAAGCTTCCGTTGCATTGCCCCGATTGTGCAGTCAGGGTCAAGGAGATGTTGCTTGAGAATAAGAGTAATCTCTCTCTCTCTAGAGCTGTAATCTCATAATTCCAATCAATAATGACATGTTCACACACGCTAATAATATAGGTATCTACGAGGCCAAGACGGACTTCGGCAAGAACACGTGCACCGTCGAGGGTGTCCTTGAGGAGGACAAGCTCGTCAAGTACATCTTCGAGAGGACGCGCAAGAAGGGCATCGTCGACAAGGTCGAGAAGAAGGTGATCATCAAGGAGGAGAAGGTCTTAGTGAAGAAGGCGGACAAGGAAAAGGAGAAGAAGGAGAAGGAGGAGAAAGAGAAGAAGGAAAAAGCGAAGGAGGCCGCCGCGAAGGTCGTCAAGGAGATCATCGCCCCCTACTTCATCCCCTGCACGCACCCGCACTTCGTCGACTACTCGCACCCGGGCCACCGCTACGGCTGTGGCAGCGGCTACTGCTCGCCGTACGGCGGCGGTGACGGCTACGGGTGCGGCGGCGGGTACCCACCGTACGGCGGTGTCAGCTACACACACACTGAGCTCAAAGGCTACCAGGAGACGGCGTTCTTGCACTGCACACACCCCAGTGAATTCATCAGCGAGGAGAACCCATATGCATGCGCTGTGATGTAGACCTTTTTTTGCAGTTGGATTCATGTCGAATAATTTGAACACTAAGAGCAACGCCAACGATGGCTCAACCTTTTTGCTTCAGCACAGATTTGTTATTAGCTTGCATTAATTATGTCTGCAACCAATCTGAAGTCTACTGTATAGTAGTACTAAACCAAAGACAGTAGCCAGCTAGCTAGGAAACTTGAACCTTCTTCCAAGCAAATCTTTCAGGGTTTCCAGCTGAAACGCTAACTGGCTTATACCCATGCATGAGTAAGCGTAGTATTTCAAAGAAGGAAACTGTGACGCTTTGATAGTATCATTTTAGTATATAACGTTTGATATAAACTAAGAAGCAACTTTGCCTAGCTAATTTACTGGATTATAAATTGTCAACAAATAAACTAATGGCAATCAACATTGTAATTGGAGGTTCCCATCAATTAGATCAATCGGTTTTGTAAACACTCTTTGACTTAGAAAGTTAGGCTCATGACTCCTGCTGGATAATATCATAAATTCAAAATTTCAATTACTAGACAAATTAAGTTTCTGTTATAAAATATTGCTGGTAACTTAAAACTATGCATAGCATTAGTTAGCTGTAAATTAAAAATTGTGGTCTGACTATTTTCCAACTGCTTGAAACCATCTTTTTTTGTTCAATCACCACAATCATAAGCCCTTGATCAAATCCAACCACTTCAAGTCTTCAACTGATAAGTAGTTGGATGCAGGGTTCTGGGATTCAAATAGCAAAAAATTCCTGACCCGACCAAAATTGGTGAATCTTGGAAATTTTAGACTAGTACTCATTTTTGTTGACTAATGAAAATGTTCATGTTTGGCTAATATTTAGCTGAATTTTAGCCAAAATTTGTTCTAGAGGCACGAAGAGGAAATCAATGGAATATAGTTTGATAAGTTTGCACTTTCAAATCAAATGAAAAACTTTTTGGATTTGTTTGAACTCTATACTAGACTAAAAATTCAAATTGGACCAAAATTTCTGATTGTTGATACAATGTTGTTTCGAGCCTCACCAAGATGGACGAATTAACTTTGCTGAAATTTGATTGTTCCGAATCAGATCCCAGCAGAACCCTGGTTGGATGTTAATTCTGAGTTTCTGACTGAAAACTAAATTGGTTTCAGGCTCATACAAATTGCAAAACTATTAAGGAACACAAGAACAGACAACAGAGCTGATAAGAGTAGTTATTATAGTGATGAGAACATGTAATAGTATGTTACCCAGTAGAGTTTTTTTTTTTAAAAAAAACATTTTGCTATTCAATTGATGCACATGTGCACAACAAAGGGTTACAAGTAGTTCATCAATCTATTGGAGAATTTGTTTCATAAATAGATATATGTGCAGAGAATCATGGGAACAACTTGAGAACAAGAGACTTTATCAACACATGAGCATACAAAAAGATGGCATAGAACATTATAATAGCGAGATAGACATCTGAAAATGCCAGATAATTAGTAATACAGTTGAACAGGTTAGATAAGCGCTACGTGTCATTTCTCATCGAGTTAGTCATTGGCTCTTCAGTGAAGTTGATTATTTTGTTCGGGTCAAATTATTCTTGACAAATCTAGCAAGCGCATAGAAATTTAATGTTGTTTGGCTTCTGGCTGCTCGTTTGTTTATTTGTCGCTAATTTTGGTAACAACAAGCTGCAAATTTGACACAAAGGACTATAATAATTGGTTGCAGTTTTAAGAACTCTGCAGACTGAAGGAACGAAAATCTCAATTAATAACAAATACTCCTCGTGTAAGGAAAGAAATGTGACAAAGTGTCACAGTATGCTTAGGACCGCTGAAGGCAGTCAAGCTAGGTGCACACAGACACACCATCAAATTCTATAGAAATGGTGTGGAGTGGGAGTTTTAAGCTAGCCATATAGCACTAATCCTAATCTCTGAACAGGGATGTAACAGCACAATCCAAAGAGGCCATAATAAACACTAGATGACATATGTCATCAAATGAAAACCTCAAGAATCTTTGAATGTCCAAGTCCCAAGAACTTAGGGAGACAACCATCTTGCAATCTACGCATATGAGACAACGAAGAACAAAGGCAGCATAGGCAAGTAGTTGGTGACTTTGTGAGGAGTCCCCATGAGCCGCTTGCTTTGCGAGATGCAATTTACTATAGCTGAATCGAGTACTAGCTTCGTGATGTTTAAACAAAGGCAAAGCAGGCACACGTGTGAGCAGAAAATTGTGTGGTAACTTGTGACGAAGCAGTTCCCAGACTCCACAATAAACTTAGAAGAAGAACCAGAAGCAGAAACTGATTGATGATACGAGAAATAATATAGTATGCACGCGTCACTAATTGTTGTTGCACACACAAGGCAGGTAACACCTTTGTCTAACTCAAAAAACAATTGTGCCCAAAAGTATATATTCACAACACACACACACCTAGCAGCTACATGATGATAAAGTAAGAACTGACAGCTTAAACCACTAGGATACGCTAACTTTTTGAACACAATTTGGTTGGAGATATATATTATCTCATCCATAGGAACAATAACAACAAGAACCCCATGCTTGGAAACATCGATTAGCACACTTGCATCCAGTCCCAGAGAACAATTTTTGAAGACTACTTATTAAAAGCCAGATTAAAAATTAAGACAAGGTTACACCACAACAGATCAAGTTTCAAGAGGCACATGAGAGGAGAAAAGGAAAAGAAAGGAGAAGAAATTGAAAACACAAAATCAGAGAGACCGAGCAAACACTACGGAGTTGTACAGAGATCGAGATAGAAATAGATAGATAGAATCCTTGCAAGCATACGTGCGCTAACCTTTTGCAAGCTGCCCTTAACCCTTGTGCCGTTCATTGCTTTCTTCTTGACATCTTCCTGCAGTTCTCTCAAACCTGAATTACACCACCGGCCATCATGGACTTGCTTGTCAGAACGGCGGCCGTGCACCGGCCCAACCATGGCCGTCAGCGCCGGGCGGGAGCTGCGACCCGCCACCGGCCATGTTGTTGAGCGGCAGGTTGAAGAACGGCAGCCCGGCAGCCGACGGGTCGGGAGGGAACGGCCCACCGCCCATGCCTCCAGCACCATCGGCACCACCGCCTGGTGGCTGCATCTGGAGGCCGGGTGGCGCTGCCTGAGCCTCTTCCTCCTCCAGGGGGAGGCGCTCGTAGGCGACGTTGGCGAAGGACGCGGCGATGACGATGACGGGGCCTGCGGCGTAGAGCGCACCCACGACGTTCCCGCCGACCACCTGCCCCTGGCCCCCCGCGAGGAAGATGGTGAGGCTGGTAGCGCCGGGGGGAGCCGGCGGCGGGAGGAAGGAACCCGAGAGCGACAGGATCTCGAACCTCCCGTGCAGCGTCACGACGGCGCCCGTGGGCGCCGACGGCTGCCGCAGCGTCACGTTGGTGACCACGCCGCTGCCGCTCAGCACGCAGACGCCGCGCTGCCGCCGGCGCGCGTACGTGGAGACGCTCTCGAACACGTCGCAGCCGCTCCCCACCTCCAGGATGTGGGCGCGCAGCGTGTTGGCGCTCTCCCTCGTGATGATCACCGGGGGCTTGGGCTTATTCTTCGAGCCCGGCGGGCGCCCGCGGGGCCGGCGGGCTACCATCTCCCCGTTACCACCGCTGCCACCAGGGGCGTCTCCGGCGCCTGGGCCGGATGAGGACGACCCGCCGTCGTGCTCACCGTACGGCCCTCCGTTGTTGCTGTTGCCGCCGCCGCCGCCGCCATTAGGGTCATCCTCGGAGGGCTCCGGCTGCTTGGCGTAGTTGTGCTGCAGCTGGAGGTCGGGGTGGAGGTGGTGGAGCTGATGAACGTAGCGCGTCGCAGCGGTGCCAAGGTCGAGGCCGGCCATGCTTTTCTGCTAGCTCATGTACTGATGTAGCTAGCAAGCAAAAATTTTAAAACTAGACTAGAAAAAGCAGCGAAAAAAAGAGAGAAATAACTCCAATTGCAACAGAGTGGTGTTTTGTTTTTAGGTTAAAAGGAAGTGTTGGAAAAGGAAGCAATGATTTTTAAAGAAGGGGATTGTTTATGATTGTGGCTGTTTTAAAAGCTTTTGGATGCAGAAAGAAGCATACAGGGATGAAATTAAAAACCCAAAGAAGAGAATGCTTGCATGGAGAAGAGAATTGAAGGAACACACACCAACAGGGCTGTGAGCTAGCTATGAGCAGGGTAGGGAAGGAGGAGAGAAAGGAGGAAGCTATAGAGGAGGAGAAGGTGAGGCACGGGAGGCAGGCAAGATGGGAAGAGAAGGGTTCGAGAGGTTCTTCATCAAACCAGCAGTAGGAGGTGCACCGCATAAAATAATGTGGGGAGGAGAGAGTTGGGAGAACAAATTCTTGCGCATTCTTTGCAGCTACGGAAAAAGACACAAGGCTATAAGACTGACACGTGGGCCACAGGATTTGGGGCCCAATGAGTCAGTTTCGCAGGCGTCCTACATGATAGTGACAGGGCCGGGGGTGGCATCGGAGAAAGAGAGACGGGTCGAGCGGGAGGAACTATGATGCCAAAATGTGATGCATGGTGATAGCGATGGCTTAGCGTGTTCGCTAATTAATCAGGGTTAAGCGCCTAAACCCGTGGTTTAGGACCACTTAATCCTGGTTAGTGCGAACGGTGTGGAGGTTGTTCATGACTACACTCTGGTGGGGCCCATGCTAGCGCGTGCTGCGCTCGGATCAATTGCACCTGCAGTTAGGTCTAACCCCTGTAGTACGTTTTTTTTTTCCAAATTATATAAAGTGCATGCTCATGTACATACATACATTCACAGGTCACCATACAAGCAGTGGCGGAGCTAGAAGCTAAACGTAGGGAGGGCCAATTTGCCTAACACTAATTAAAATGTGAACGAGTGTCAGATAATTATAAAGTGTCAATAGAATTAAGGGAGTAAGAACTGGAGGTTGCCCATGCTACACGTTTAGATTGTCTGTTTCCTTTTGAAAAAAATCGTAAATAGATTTCTCTTTTGTAAAAAATTGCACGCTTGTCATTGTCTATATAATAATAGAAAATCATATGAACCGGAAAGTTAGGGAAAAGACAGCAGCTCTTGAGGTTCAGAAGCATGGAGTAATAAAAAGTAAAAAACATCTACTAGTTGGTGCCTGCCTACACTTGAGCTCATGAGCCGTGACGGGTGGCCAGGAAGCCCTTACGGCTTGCGCTGCGCAGCACTACGAATTGCAGTTTGGAGAGCGCAGCAGCCGGCAGCCGAGAAGCCAGAGCGAAGCGAGTGCGGGGGATGTCAGCTGTGGGATGGGAGTCGGGCACTGCCGCTCCGATCACGCCCGGTAGGGCCAGCTGCAGGCAGGGGGGGCATGACCCAGGTTAGCCGACGTATAGCTCCGCCAGTGCATATACACATGTATTCCTATGATGAATGAAAACATCTAAAAACCGAATAGTGTAGTTACCATATATAAGTATTTTGTTGCCGATGAATAAAAGACGTACCAGTGTAGAGAGCTCCCGCTCTGTGCGGGATATGGGAAAGGGTGTCAGTGCCAAGTCTTACCATCGCCTGTGCAATGCGAGGAGGCCGCGACTCGAACCCGGGACCTTCTGGTCACATGCGGTAAGACTCTACCACTTGCACCAGGCCCGCCCTTCTTGGTGCCGATGAATAGTATAGTTTAATTTCTTTCTAGAGTAAATTAACCAATGAAAATATAAGCACACGTGCGAACACAAAGACATTAATCACGCAGGTAAGTTCTACCAATATGTAAAAAGTGCAATGTTATTCATCATGTTGCATTGTATGTTTAAAAAACAGACAATATTAACAAAACCCTAGACTTTAACTAATATAATACACACTACATATCACAGCCCTTCTTTATATATGATCAATTTAAACTAATTGAGATCAAAGATATTAGCTGCATGTTTTAGCATAGTGTATATAGATTCTTATGGATACAACAATACACACCACTGCAGATGCCCTCTTTGCCGAGTGCTGGGGGCACTCGGCAAAGCCAGCCAAGCACTCGGCAAAGGCTTTGCCGAGTGCCGCACTCGGTAAAGGTCTCTCGGTAAAGATTTTATCGGCAAAAATTTCTTTGTCGAGTGCCAAAAATCGACACTTGGCAAAGTCTTTGCCGAGTGCCAAGCTCGCACTCGGCAAAAAAATAACTGTCGTCAACATTTGACGCCGGCTTTGCCGAGTGCCTAGGGACTGGCACTCGGTAAAATTTGAATTTTTGCCGAGAGCCAGGGCTCAGCACTCGGCAAAGAAACCATTTTTTTTAAAAAAAATCTTTTTAAAAATAGTCTTTGCCGAGTGGTACCACCTGGCACTTGGCAAAATTGACCTCTTTGCCGAGTGCCAGGCTGTGGCACTCGGCAAAACTGGGGAAGTGACTGTTTTTGCAGCATTTTTTCCCAGCTTTGCCGAGTGCCCACTACTGGAAACTCATTTTCTTCTGTGTGTGTTTATTTTTTCTGTGCGTTTTTGACGATACGCACAGAAAAATTAAAATTATTCTGTGCGTTTCAAATAATCCCGTCAGACAAATACAATAACACACAGAAAAATGATATGTTTTTTCTGTGCGTGGAAATATACACGGAAAAACTTCACACTCACGAGAAAAATTTCAATTATTCATCGGTGGTCTCGATACGCATACGTAAAAAAATTATGTTCACGCACAAGTAAAATTGATATTATTCGCCGGTTTTTTGAAAACACACGAGAAAAAAACATACACGCGCACGAAAAAATTGAAACGACCACTAGGATTTGGGGTTCGCGCTCTCATTTTGGCGTTCGCGCTTCGCTTCGGTGTTGGCGCGTTGTCACGAAATGAAAATACATTAATGAATAAAAAAAGCAAAAGACTCTAACCCTAACTTGCTGCCGCCGCTTAACACACGTACACGCCCGCTTCTAACTCCGCCACACGCCGCGCCAAGACGCAAGCGGCGCGCCGTATTTCATGACACGCCACGACGCTGCCGCGCGCCGCCCGCCGCCATCACAAGGCCAAGACGCCCACGCGCTTGCCATTGCTCTCCACGACGCGCATGCAGCACACGACCCGCCGCCGCGCGCAGACACACACAACGGCCGCCGCTCCGCGCAGACGCGGCCAGCCGTCGCAGCAGAGACCTCCGCAGAACCATGCCGTCGGGCGATTCAGCGTCTCAAGTTCCTCGCCTCTAGATCCGCGCCTCTCCAAGCTCCCCCGCGGCCACGCCATCGATTGAGCGCCCTCCTCTACCTAGGCCGGCCGGCGCGCCCTCGTGCTCGCCTAGGTCCGTTGGGGTCCGTGCTACAACCTTCAAGCGAGCTCGGCTCCCGGTCACCCATCGATCCACGCTGTCCCGGTAAGTGAGACTCGTCTCGTCAGCAGAAGAGGATTTAGATGCAGAGCTCCGTGAGCGTGTAGGGTTCTGAGAGCTTAGATTTGTGTGGAAATTTTTGATTTGAGCTTATGATCTGTTGGATGTCAAGGCCAAGACTGAAGTGTTCTAGGTGAAAATGTTTAGCTAACAAATGAAATCTTTGAGTGTCTTCTCTGTGGATGTATTGATATGTCCGGTGATGGAGCTCGCTAGAAATTTTAGGTGGATGTTTTCTTATGTCCAGTGGCAGTTTGTAGTGACATAATATATAATTCATTAATTCAACATATGCAAGAGATATAAAAGAACTAATATGCCAATTTGAGAACAAATGAGCTAGTGTATGATATATGTGAGATAAATACAATTAAAAAAGCAGTGCATAAGCATAACAACTAAGATATATATGATACATATATTGCTCAGTTGTGTACTTGCGCCTAACCCACGGCCACGTTAACGACCTTTTTTTTTAGGAAACGCCGTACAACAAATGAGATTGAATCATAATGTAGTTGTATTTGAGTGTCTACTTGTATGATTTTTGGAATATGATGTCCTGTTATTCACGGTTTATTTGAGTGTCTACTTGTATGATTTTCGGAATATTTGTCCTTTCATCCGAATAATGCAGTTGTCATTGTTGTGACATCTATTTATTTTGCGTGTCCTTGCTGCAGTGAAGATTTTGTGCTAAGCGGAGTGCATTGAAGATTTTGGGCTAAGGAAGGAGTGCTGCAGTGAAGTCTTTGGGCGGCAAGGACTGAAGCTTCCTATTGGATTTGCTGTGTACTACTTTCAAGACTAAAGAATTGTTGAGGACCTCTGATTGAGACTCAAGGTACACTTATTTCTTCTTTGCATAAAATTGTTGTATGTTGTTATGCTAAATTCTACTTGTGTGCCCACTTGTCCGAGTTTAGAATGTCCGTTCTTGCTCTAAAAATAATTGAGCTTCCTTTGTTGTGGTATCTAATATATTAATATTTGAAACAGAATTAGTTAATATGTCAAACCGAACATGGATGTATAATGGTTGGCAACGTGGCAAAGCTCCCTCAAATGAATGGGTTGATGGAACCAATGAATTCTTGAATATTGCATTTTCAATTCCTGGTGTAGCTGAAAATGATACTATTAAGTGTCCTTGTGCACAATGTCGGAACTACTTTAGGCATATAAGATTAACTGTAGAGATGCATTTGTGTTGGTATGGTTTTAAGGAAGACTATGAAACTTGGACTGAGCATGGTGAGGGGCTTATTTCACATGATGGATATGATGGTGTGGGCAATAGAGAGGGCACTGATGAAGTTGATCAGATGGATCAAATGTTGGTTGACCTTGCTGGGCACCATCCACCTATACTGGATGCTGAACCAACAGTCGTTATCGTCCCGCTGAAAGGAATGATGGCTCTGAAAGTGCAGGCGGTTCCATTCGACACACACGCCGTGTAGCCAACAGCAGTGTAGCCCAAACAAATGA